ATACTGCCCTCATCACCACAATATCTGAGCACCTTGCAGAAGTGCATTAAGTGACATGAGTGACACAACATACATGACTGACATCTGTCATCTGTTTGTTCTCCCATCCCCTCAGCAGAGGGAGAAGTGTGTGCGGCAACATTTAAAAAAAAAGTGAAATATTTATATATATATGCACACACAGAGCTATATGTTTATGTTAGAGCAGGAGTTCTCAAACTTCATTGCATCGCAATCCCCTTCTGACAAAAAAAAGTACTATATGACCCCAGGAGGAAGGGGACTGAAGTCTGAGCCTGCTCTAGCCACTCTGCCCCAGGTGGGAAGGCCAAAACCCAAGGGCATCAGCCCAAGGCTGGGGGGGGGGGGCTGAAAACTGAGCCCCGACATCCAGGGCTGAAGCTGTCGGGCTTGGGCTCGGGCTTCAGCCCCAAGCCCCAGTAAGTCTAACGCTAGCCCTGGCGACCCCATTAAAATGGGGTCGTAATCTACTTTGGGGTCCCAACCTACAGTTTAAGAACTGCTGTGTTAGAGAAAGCCAAAGGCAAAAGAAGAGTGCCTTACATTCAGAGCAGAAGGTGATGAGGTTTGTATTCATCCTTCAGTTGTTGCCTGATTTTATGGGAGATTAATAGATAATATGGGTTATAGGCTCGCCATTAATCTGATCAGAAGATAATAAGGTTCCTGTCCCAGAATCAGGCTACACAGAATTTTCCAGGACTCTCAGGATGTCTGACAAGAAAACTCTCACTGAGAACAAAATGCAGCCTTAAGCTTTTTATTGAAATAAATGGAATAGTAATTTAATAGTAATCAAATAATAATCGAATAATCCATCAATTACAAAAGCAGTAATATTGTTGTAGCAGGATATGTGGTATTATATACTATAAAGGTTTCTTGATTAATATACTCACCCTTCCTTGATAACCTGGTGATAGGAGACAAAAGACCAGCCTTGCCTCTGGCATGCCAAGAGAGCTCGATGGTTCAGGTTTCTCAAGTCTTGAGTGGGAGGTGAAGAACTTAGAAGAAGCTACAGCTAAAAGCTGCTGAAAGACTGTAGAAGCTAACTTAAAGCTTACTTAAAACTATCCATTAAGAACTAACAAGGATGAACTACCAATGAACAAGCTGAACCTACCCAACATGGTGGGTTGCCCCTTTTATAGGGTCTGATCCCTAAGTGCCCTCTTCCCTAAATGCCCTCCTCAAAACTTAATTTCCTCCCTATGAAAACGTTAGGGTTCCCTTACTCTATAGGCTGACATGATCGTGAGTATTAATGACATATTCATAACTATTAGTGACCATTAAGTCATCCTCACCTCTGCTATTTCTGTCCTAACTGGTTGTTTCCATGTCCTTTGTGCTGTACCTGTAAAGTCTGAAAAAGGCCATGAACTTGGGTGGCCTTACCTACCAACTAGCTCTAAACATGCCCATTTATCTATGTTAAAGGTCACAAACATATATACTGTATGCTTTAGCTCATCACCACCCATTTAGGGTAAAGGTCTCAAACATAAGTATGTTCACTTGCCTTAGCTTAACATACAGGATGTTGCCTGTAGGTTCCTTGAGTTACAGCTAACATACTCTAATACAACCATCCAAAATACTCTAATACAAATTGATAAACCCATTCTAATAACAAACAACAAACCTATAATATAACAAATGATTAAACTCATAAGAAAAGATATATAAGCAAGCAAGCAGGATAGCCTTATAGGCTACACATTGCTGTGAGAGTTAGTTCCACAGTCGTGGGCTGGCATCTCTAGAACAGATGAGCTTTACAAGTATGTAGAATGTTCCATTGTGTTAGAGGAATGAAGTTTTCAGCCACGGTCCTCATCCCTTACCTCTCCCCAGCCAATCTACTCCCACCTGTTTTCTAAATGAAACCCAGGACAGTTTACCATGAAGGGTGGACTGGGAGAAAACACTACTTATCCCTCTGACTCTTTTCTACTGTTTGTTCCCAGTGTTATCCTCTCTTCCTGCATTTCCTAGCATGTGTCTGCAGGCCCTGCTCAGAGGCTAGAGGGGTATGTGGCAAGCAAGAGGGAGTGTGGGTCAGTGGGCGAGGTGAGTGGAGTGGGAAATATGAGAAATTAAGCAGGCCTGTGGGAGAGAGAGGGAGCGAGTGGGATGGGGGAGTGGAGATACTGGTGGGGCCATGAAAGATGAGTGACCATGTTGGGGGTGGAGGACGAATGGGTAAGTGCAGGAGGATGGGAAAGAAGGGAGGCACTAGTGATTCTCTACCCCCTCTGCCCGATGGAGCTTCTATGGCTCACTAGGATGGGGAGCCACTAAGCTGTGAGTGTATGAGCTGCTGGCTCCTCATGTGCCAGCCTGCAGATCTCAGGTTCTGGATGGCCTCTGAGCTGTGTGAAGGACCAGTAAGCCTTAGCGTGTGGAGGGGAACTCATGCTATGGCTCAGAGCAGACTGACTTCCCTCCTGCTAGTGGTTTCTCCTTCTGCTTTCAGCCTCCAAACCCCATGATAAAGTCACCCAGCCACTATAACTCATAACATCCAGCTCTCCATCCAGCTCACCCACTTTCCTGCTCACCCCATCCAACCCCATAACCTATCTCATGTCCCACAACAGCACTTTTTCCTCAAGACTCCACGTCCATAGTAGAGTGTCTGGCTGTTGGCTTTCTCTTGTAAAACTCAACTCAGGAGTAACACAACTACTAGGTGAATAATTTGTTATATTTAAAATTCTAGTGTCTAACTTACGTCCAAGAGGTGGTGAGTAAAACTGTGACACCAAGTATGATTACGATTATTTTACACCAGATGAACCCAATTAAATGTCACAGAACAGGGTTAAACTTCAAAGTAGGAGGATTTTAAAATGTTTCTTGTGCAAAAGTTAATAAATACTTTACTAAAGGCCATCAAAAATGCAATTGTCCCATGATGAGTTATTGTTCCAAATTTTGAGAAAAAAAACCCATTCATTAACATGTGTAACAGAGGGAAGTTAATAGAGGGAAGGGTAATTAAGTTACTGACAAATATAAAAACAGCTGGAAACTACACTACAAAATACATACAGGAAGGAATTGTGAAGATGCAGGGACAGTTTAAAATAAATTCTAAGTACGGAATATAAAGAGAAAATGCAACCACTCAACCAAACCTTAATTCAAACATTGTCAGAGAACTGAATTATTTGATTTCAACACTAGTATTCTCCTTCCATTGAGATCTTTTTTGTGGCATGGGTTTACCAAGACAATTTCTTTCATTTATTATATCCAGCCTTGCAGAAACCTTTAAAAATATTGTGAACTGAAATATTGAGAGTGAAGCCTATCTTTAATATTCGGAATCAATAAATCTTTCCAATGCCTCATTATTAAAGAGCTATAGTCAAACAAAACAGTGTCTTCAGATGAAGTCTAAAGTTATTAGATAATGCTGCTGATTTAATAACAATATTTTAAGTTAGATCTAGTTTAATTTGTGAAATTCTTAATTTATTTGATCTGTGTTACAAATATATGCACACATATACAGGTTCTATGCATATGAACTCCATGTGTATATCTGAGTATGCACATATTTAGATGGACAGTTGTGTATATAAATAGCCAGATTAATACACTGCCTTCATTCTCTAAGATGAACCAAAGGTGGCACCACAAATTCATTTTTCAGTGCAAACGAAATAATGCAGTAAGATATGGTTAACTTTATTACAGTCAACAGGACAAATCTATTTATCTTCTGTAGAAGGAGGCACAGGTATAGATTCAGTTATCCTTTCAGTAAATCTGGTATTGGGTACAATAAACCCCAGAAATGAAGCATATGCATTTAAAATAAAAGGAAAAGTACCCTTCTGTTGTATTCTCTTACCTCCAGGAGGCAAACACTGACATCAAGTGCTAAACCTCCATCAGAATATCTGACACCTGGGGACTAAACGGTGCTCAGATGCAGTCAGTGCGACATGCTAGCCCCCTGGAGTGTGGCACTGTGACAACTGCAACACACGCACTTCTGAAGGCAACTTAAAAGGTTGGACTAGCTGGGCAAGGTAGTCCAGGCTCCTCCTCATGTCTGAAATCTGCTCTACTGATATAGAGACTGCCAGGGGTCACATTGCTTTCGCCAAGCAAGTATTTCTTAATTGTTCAGTGTGATTAACAGCTCTTACATTTAACACCCATCACTGTTAACTTTTCTTTCTGAACCATTTAAACTTTTTTCTAACCCATTTGACACTGATAATATGGATGCAATACAAAAACAACCTTAGTTTTCTTTTAGCATAACAAACCATAGTGAGAGGATCTTCTGTATGCTGACCTAAGATTTGTAGATAAAATATTGTATTAGTTATGGAAAAACATACACTTACCGAACAGACCGACTCCTTTACATACATAAGGAAATTAAGCAGCCTCATTTGGAACAGAACTCTCAAAACAATAAGAGCAATAACGTTATAGCCCCAAGAATTCACAGTTAGGTGTAAAAGAAGACAGCAGTTTGCTGGGTTAGCTTACGATTATGGAAAGCACATTGCTAATTACAGTAAAGTATCCAGAGGTCAGATTTACTGGTTTATCAAAAGCTAAACACACAATACAGTCTAATGAAAATGATGGAACAAAAGTTTGGGAGGCTTAAATTTCCCACCGTTTGAAAGACTTCGAAACTGCTGAGGCAAGTACAAAAGTTACCAAGCTCACTCAATTTTTGGCACTTTTTGGTCAGACTTCACATTTACCTGACATATGCTAAAATGGTGCCTGAAATTTGGCTCCTAGAAGTCCATAAGTAGTAAAAAGTGCTAAGACCCAGCAGGCTCCCCTTGAAGCAAATAGTTTTGAAAATCAGGACATATATTTAGATGCCTAAATATGTATTTATGGGCCTAGTTTTAGATACTCATTTTTTAAAATCTTAGTCACAGTTTTGATATATGGATGCTTTGTACACAAAAGGGATCAAAATAGCCTACCTTGTGGAGTCTGAAGACGGTTTCATACGTCCCTGGCTACTCTCCTCCCAGACACTGTTTGCTAACTCATTCCCAATGGATGACATCACCTTGATGAGTTCTATAGGCCAATCATCCAGGTCAAGTGACCGTACACGTGACAAGTGCGTGCCAAGGTTCCGGTGTATACCTGAGCATTCGATACACATGAGGGCTCCCAGATTCAGACTGGCCCAGTCAGGGTCTACAGGAAGATAGACACAAACAATCACTAAAAAAAACAAAACAAAATTCCTTGTGACATATTCTAAACCTCTCTCAGACCTGAAGAACTTATGAATAATGATTTTGGCTGGGGAAGCTAGAGGAGTAATATTCAGGTCTCGGTCTCACAGCACTGTTAGGAAGCCTGACAGGAAGTGGAGGCAAAAGTTTGATCCCTAGGTCTAGCCCTCTCAATGTGACATTCCTCCTACAGACCCTAAATGAGTTGACAAGAAGTAGTGGTGGGCTCAAAGGAAGGCGCATGCAACACTCCAACAGACAAAGGGAACCTGTAATTCTAAAGAGAAAAGAAGCAATAGGGAAGATAAAAAGATGGTAGCAGGTAGCCCAGATGAAGTGGTAGAAAAAGCCACTCCTTGGGTATCTGGAACGACTTGTAGACAATTACTACAAAAGAAAAAGTTACTTGATACAATGTTGCTGTTGCTAACTATATCAACTCCCTTAATAACCATTTATATCATCACCTACTTATGACTTATACATCTAACATGCTGTGGGGTATGGTTCATCTTTAAGATCAGGGAGATAAGTACTAAGATGAAAATGTGCAATTTTTTTTAAGTGTACTAGGAAGAACAATTCTACAGAAAAAAAATTACCGCCCAAAAGACAAGGCTATGAGAAACCTGGCAAAAGCCAAGAAATTCGAAGTCATTTCTCAAGATGTTTCATTTTTGTCACCATGCTATGTTATTTAAATGCAAGTTGTCTGAACCTCTCTTGAACAAACATTAATTTTAACACATGCAATGAAACACTTCCGAGGGAGGATTTTTGGAGGTGCTTTTCTTGATGTCAGATCTTGTCTACCTTTCTTTTCCTGGGAGACACTATGGAGCTCTGAAGAGCTAGTATATCATGGTATCAAGCAGGAAAAACCTGGTTCATAGGGCAGGAGATTTTTATTCACACTGTAAATTTTAAACACTGGTCAGAAAATGGGATTCCCTCACTGGTGTAAGAAATTTCCATTTCAATAAGGATGATTTTTTCCTAAATTTTCTGCAACAGAAATTGAACATTTTTCTGCAACTGAAAGCTGCCAAAACCTGAAAATATTTTCTGGTTTTCTGCCAAAAAATTTGGGTTTTGGACAAAAATTCAAATATTTTCAAGGAAGGCAGACACTTTCCATAAATTTTTTTGTTTAATTGAAAACCCAATTTTCCCTCGAAAACTGTTGATGGAAATGTTTTGAACAGCCCTAATAAAGAATTTTTAAAAAAATTAAGTTCAAACAGAAGAACAGAATTATTTGTTAAAGCTTCATTGTCACTCCTAGTCCTTTGATTAAGTGTTGAGAAAGCTCAGTACAAATCTTAGATTTCCAATGAGTCCTGTGAAAATAAGGAAGACAAGACTTGCTATTCCTTTCATGCATTCTTTGTTCATCATACAGGATCTACAAAAGGCACAAATTATTTTCCCTCCCTCACCCTCCATTAATCTTTAATAGATAATTTTCATGTCTCAAACAGTACATAGGGGGACTTGTGTAGTATTGAAAGCTAGCTGAAAAGATTAAAAGAAAGTAATTGTTTAAGGTCTAAATTAGTAAGAGAATGTGTATTAAATTACAATTTACAAACGATTGCAACTTGGAATAAAATCTCTTTCACTGACCTGCCAAAGCCCGAGTTCAGGGTTCTGTGTTTCTCCGCCAACACTGATGATATTGCTAACAGCCAAAAGGGAAACTGCAGCTCCATACTCTATTTTAGGCCTTGTGATACTCAGAAGTGAGGATATATAAAGTTTCTTTTCTGACTACATGAGCAAGCAGAGTGGGAATGTGGATCTATATAGGCAATTATCTCAAAGAACCAAAGTTCTTCAGACATATCTGCACCGAAAGATTATCAAGTAGTAATAAATTATAAAGGAGGTGGTTCTGAGGAGTATTTGTTAAATAAAAATGGCAAGACAGCTCTTCTGTACTGGGCATCATATCAAATAACCAGATTAAGTGAACAAAGGTGCAAAAAAACTGAACAGAACTCCAAATATCAGCATTATATATTTCTGTGACAGTCATATGTCAAGTATGCGGTAAAATTTGCTTGAGACCTAACAGAATATGGCTCAGCATCCTCAAGTTTGGAGTTAAGGCCATAGCAAGATTTAATACACAGTCTCACTCATTTAGAGACTCTCTCTGAGTACAAAAAAAAAAAAGGAGTACTAGTGGCACCTTAAAGACTAACCAATTTATTTGAGCATAAGCTTTCGTGAGCTACAGCTCACTTCATCGGATGCTGTAGCTCACGAAAGCTTATGCTCAAATAAATTGGTTAGTCTCTAAGGTGCCACAAGTCCTTCTTTTCTTTTTGCGAATACAGACTAACACGGCTGCTACTGTGAAACCGCTCTGAGTACAGGTGGACTTCCCTTAGATCTATCCCCACAAGCCACAGACTGTATCCAAGATGGGCAAATATGTTTGTTCTACAAATGCACTCTCTTTCCTCATCTACACCATGTAATCTAGCCTCCCAGGGTAGTATGTCAGACTTATGAAAAACTATTAGCACGTTTACAGAGTGTTGTAAATGAACATATGAAACCATCATAGGCCTTGATTCAGCGAAGTACTTAAGCATGTGCTTAACCCTCAATGAAGTAAATGGGATTTAAGCACATATATAAGTGCTTTGCTGAATCAGGGCCTTAGTGAAGAATTTACAGTATTTTCTTATGAAACACTGAGAACCAGTCCTCAGGTCTTGTATCTCTCAGACTCTTCTTTGCAGAAGTGATTGCCTCTAAAAATGTCTCCAGGGTCTGGTGGAAAGGAGAACATTCTGCAAGAAACTCAAAAGGTGGCTTCAGCAGATTTATTTGCACAAAAATTACGTTAAGGAAATATTTAGCTTCGTCTTCTCAGAGACTTTTAATAATTGCACATGCCAAGACTAAAGATCTCTGTGTTGGATCCCTGATGACAGGAGACTTAGACTGTCTTTGAGCATTGTTAAATTCACCTTCCCTATCCTTTGCTGAAGAAGTATTCATAAGAAATATTTATGAAGAATCTACTTCCACGGACAATGGTAGTAACATCAAAGTAGCATACCAAATTCTAATACAATCAAGAAGTCACTAGAAATCTTTTCAGGACGGTATCCTGAGTTTCAATAGCTAGAAAATATGGTCAGATATGAAGATTACAGATTTTAAGTGAGTAGATATGGACAGACTTAAGAATGAGATGGCTGAGGTCCTTGGAAATGACCCCAAGAAAACCAAGGCTGTTGACCTCAGTTCCAACAAGAAAACAAAGAAAGAAACAGGAGTGAATTAAACAATCAATCCATTCCCACAAACAAAGTTTTGCAAGCTTGAAACAAATGGTCTGATTTTTTTCATTCTATGAAAAAAAAGCAATAGTGTTCTTGTTGACCTTTGTTTCAATGTACTCTTCTGAATAATTGTTCTCAAATGAATTTAAAGGCAGACATCAGGAACTGATTGGTGAACTGTATGGAGTTCATCATGTGTGATGCTGTAAAATAAAAATAAGAGCATGGAGAAGCTCTATTCTGAAATTTAACAAAGCAGAAGTGCCACTGACCTTTGCACCTCCAGCATGCCACATGAAAGTGAGTATTTCCCTTGTAATTTCATGTCATGCGTTGCAAAAAAGGTTCATCACTGATACAGGGTTAAAAACATATCTATCAAGTAGAGCTTGATAACTGACAATACACTTGCTGTCTTTTTCAGAAGGTGCAAATCAAAAAGACTTTTTGGACCAAACATGCTTCACTCCCTGTTGATACCGCCAATAATCCCGGGGTTAGAGTATTGTAAAAATACTCAAAACCATTTGTATGGACATGATTGGTTCTCTTCCCCTTTTTGGATACAGCAAGACAATGCTAGAATGAGCCAAAGATCTCTAACTGTTCAAGCAGAGCTATATTTATTGGACGAGCCATTCTTCCCTTTCGTTTTTTCTCCATTATGTCAAAGAGCAAATATGACCTCTGCAGAACTATTGGTATTTCCAGATTAAAAGCTTCAGCACCCGTATAAGAAGTTCTGAAAACTTTTGAAATTCACAAGAGATAATGGTGATACAAATACTTCTGCATCAAGTTGAAGGAGATGCTCAGAGTCATTATCCCTGCCAAGAAGTTCCTCCTTCTCTTCACCTGGAAGAGAACCACAATCAGATTGGTCATCATCTAAAAAAATGGCATTACTACCAAGGTGTTAACTGTCCCAGCTCCTTTGGATTAGATGATTTGCGCTGTGCTGAACTGCTACCACATCCATTCTTCTTCTTTTTTCTTCATTATGATCTTGGAGACTCTAAGCTCACTGGACCTCTGGCTCTCGGGAGCTTCTCTGAAGGCGTTGGACTGGACTCAGATCTATCCTTTGATCTCCCCTTAGGCCTCTTCATGGAAAGAGCCAAAGCACTTTGAGGCACAGACTCAGCTGGGTTTTCCTCAGCAACACTACTTGTCTTATGTGGCTCCTCAAGAAGGAAGTCAAAGCAGGGATTCCAATTCCTTTCATACCCTCTGGGATAAGGCAACACAAGCTGTGCACTGCCACAGCAGTGTCCTTCTGAGACACAGCAAGTACTCTGGTCTGGCAATGACATCTGAGTCATGCAAAAGGTGCAGTGTTTGCGGCCAGCCTTCTGCCCTGGGACAACTAGTCCACCACTCTGTGCTGACATGGGAACAGAATAGAAGGTGTCATAAATATAAAGGGAAGGGTAAACCCCTTTAAAATCCCTCCTGGCCAGAGGAAAAATCCTTTCACCTGTAAAGGGTTAAGAAGCTAAAGGTAGCCTCGCTGGCACCGGACCAAAATGACCAATGAAGAGACAAGATACTTTCAAAAGCTGGGAGGAGGGAGAAAAACAAAGGGTCTGTGTCTGTCTGTGTGATGCTTTTGCCAGGGACAGAACAGGAATGGAGTCTTAGAACTTAGTAAGTAATC